GCAGCTTTCAGCCTTAAATGCTCCGGGAGGTAGAGTCCTGCCGTCCGTCTGTTCTGCTGGTCCCTTTCCCCCGGTAGATCAGGCAGCGTTCGTTTGAGGTATTCAGGACATGAACTCTGCAGTCATTAGCAGGGCCGCAGCATGGGAAACTAATTAAGGAAACTGTCAATAGACGATCCTGGGAGCCGCTTTTAGCGGTTTAACTAGACCAATAATAAATCTGTTGCACTTTTTTACGCCCCAAAAAAAAACGTTTTAAAGGGACAGAACATTTTTTTGTTTGTTGTAGTAGTTCAGGTGGGGGGCTGCGTCAGCATGCGTAGGCTGCAAAGGAACAAGTAATAGGTTTATTCCATGCTGACACCTGAAGGCCCCACGGCCGAAACGTTGTGTTTTCTTTCTTCTTTTTTTCAGCATGGAATTAACCTATTACTTGATTTTTTGTTTGCTTGCTTGCTTGCCTTGTGTTCCCTGCGCCCAATCCACTCCGGTAGTGATCAGTGTTTCAGTGTCCTAGTGAAAGTGTAGACTTTCCACTGTTCAGTGTAGGAGCGTAAGAGAGCCTGAAAAATGCTCCTCCCCATTGGGTCCAACGGTTCCTGTTTCACTGCTGATTCTGCAGGAGCCCGCCGGGTTAACCACAAGAACACAGTTAATGTATGTACTGTATTAATGCTGGAAAGCAATTAAGACTCCCATTGTAAAGCATTTAGTTTTATTTAAGGTTTTTCCTGCTTCAGGGTGTCCCGTAAACCAAATCCAGGTGCTGGACATTTCAGGCTTGTGTGGGTCTAAAATGATATTAAAAATGTGGCTTTTCTTTTCCACTAGTAAACCTAGAGCAACAGCCTGCAGCTAGTAAAACATGATATGGATCAGATGTGCGGTGCTGCTGCAGTCCGATGAGTTTTCCTCTGTTTGGATCCCACACCAAGGCTCTCGAATGTACTCAGGGGGATTTCCAGATACAAAAATGCCAAAATTAACACCGCCGGAGTCAGGCAAACGACACACTTTACACTCACTTAGGTTGTTGACTGGAATATGTAGAGTGCGTTTTGTCTTTTTTTTTCCGAAAATCTGTTCCTCTGGAGTGGCTGCTTTTTATTATTGACATTTGCATCCTAATGCCTTTGTTTCGTGTCTAATGTGTCAGTTTGAAATAAGAGCAGGGCAGGATTCTGCCATTAAGCTTGAGGGCGTTATTGCATCCTCATGTGGATTGTGTAGCCTCGAAAGAAGATAAAAACTTGACACAGCCCTGCCCAGAGAGAACAAGTAAAAAAAGGGGTACTTTCCCCAAAAGGCACAGATCCTGCAAGGAGTCCCCCCTTATGGGAGAAATCCCACATTGTTTTTCAAACCCACTCTAGCCCCCCCAGCTGGTAGGAGGCCGATGCTGCCTCTGAACATGAGGGATTGTTGTTGAAAGCAAAGTCAGGATAAGGACGTACCAGCCACCAAGCTTAGGGGACCAAGGACGTAATTCACTGATATGAAGGGCGTCTTTTTAGCTGAAGTCATTTGAAAGGCTTGTCTTGGCCAAACGTGTGGCCCGCAAGCCCTTGGTGTTTGGCAAAAGCACTGAGCGTGAAAGCTCTTTGGGAGAGCTGTAAATCACAGGAGGCAGGCAGGCAAGGGACTGCAAACCCAGCTTGGTCAGAAGAAATAAAGTCTTGTGTCTGTTGTTGCAGTTTAGGCAGGCTAGCTAGACATTACCAACACCAGGATTGTAATCTGTGCTCTTGCAGACTAGAATTTTGGTTGCAGTAAACTGCAGAGACACATTATAGCTGATTTGTAAAGTCCATTATCAGAACTCCAGCAATGTAGCTGTCCTGCAACATTTTCTTCAATGTATATATCTTATTCCTTGCTGTGTTTGCTCAGCATCCTATGGGATATGCTTCTAATATTACACTGATGCTAATCCAGTATTTTGAAACGTTATACTGTTTAAGGAGATCAGAACTCTAATCAGATTTTGATAAAATACCTGCATGACACACATCTTGATACTTCTTGACAGTTCAAAGACAGGGCAGCATTGAAGTACATCAGAGCTCTGGATGGGGGAGATCCCTACTCTAATCTCTAAATCCTCGTTGCAGATCTGGGGGCCATACTGGTGCTCCTCTGGGATTCTGGGATCTGAAGGGCACATCTGAGGTAGCTGTAGGTTATAATTTATTCATATCAAAACTTGTCAGTTGATTGATTTACTAATTTAATATAAATGCGATTTTCGAAATTAGTTTTTTTTTTCCTGTGATAGAAAAGGTTGGAGATGTTCATGTCGTAAAGTTATCTGTTATCCAGGCAGAACGGGGGAAGAGAGTCTGAGCCAAGAATGAAATTATGTGGTCATATACTACCAGGGAGAGGACGTTGCACCGCAACATTTAGGAAGCTTTTGTCATTGAATACTGCAGAATGTTTAAAGAGAACCTTCCTTCTTCTTTACAGAATTCCACATTCAGTGTGGAAAAACGCTCAGGGGTTATATTGTACTCCATAACCCCTTGTGTCTCAGCAGAGAGCTCATAGCAGTTCTCAGAAGCTGTTGCAGCAGACCAGGAGGAGAGAGAGGGGATTTTGTTACTTCAGAAACGCATCTGCAGCTCTTGTCCCGGCCTCAGCCTGCTGGCTATCCCTGCTGGCTCCCTCACACCTCACGGCTGCCCCCGGAGAGCAGGAAGTCCCTCCTGCCGCGTGCAGATCCAGTGCTGTAACGCAGCTCGATGCCTGGGGATTTCAGCTGCCTCTGTGCAGGTTCCTACACGTCTGCAGATAAAGATAATTGTAATATGGGGGGAAGGGATGCAGAGCACAGGAACTCTATGGCAGGAGTTTTAATCGAAAAGAAGGACAACACGAATTATCAGCTTTCACCCTTTCCTGGCTTCATTTCATTTTCCCCGTCTTCCACCTGCGGTCGGTGGCTAAACTCAAGAGTGGTGTTGGACACCCCCGCCACCCCCCTTGAACACGCACGCAAGCACTCTGCATCTCGATGCGGCCCTGCGCTACGCTCTGGGAACACCTGCGTGCGTACAAGAGCCCTCGTCCAGCACTTTGCTGATCCCGAAACATGGAGAAACATCTGAAGGGTGCTCCACACAGGTGTCAGGCCGGTAATGCTCAGCTCTCAGCGCTTGTGTGGCACAGACGTGTGCCCTTCATGCCGCTGTGAGGGCTCTCACCAGGCCCCGCTGAGTGCTGGGCAGAGCAGTGCCGTGGGCTTGGATGCATAATCGATTGAGCACATGACAATGGCCGGATCACTGCCCCATGACTAACCAACGGGCACTACTGTAGCTGCTCCCAGACACAGCCAGCGCGCTTCAACACAAGTGCACTAGATAGGAAAAAAGCAGGAGAGACAACCCTCGCTTACACCTGTTCAAAGCAGAAGTTAAATATAACTAGAAAACAATGTGCAGTTAGTAGATCAAGAAGGAACAAACACACTTTTAAGGTTTGGTTATTGTACATCAAAACATGAATTCCATTAACAATAGAGCTCATATGGCATGTGTGAAAGCATTAAGATAGTTATAACTGGTGTATTAAGATTGTTTTCTGATATGCTTTTCTCAAAAACATGTTAGTTCTTTTTTTTTTTGCTCGTTGGTGCAATTTTAGTACAAGTGACTTCTAAGCAGACAGCATGCAACACAGTTATTACCAGGACTAAGGCGCTTGTCGTTTCAGCTCCTGGTTTGGGAATGTTGGCAGGATTTCTTTTATTTTATGTGCTAATATCTCTTTAAGATTACACTGATCTGGGCTTGTCCTGTGAACATGACATCCAGTTATTGATTGGAGGGTGATTAAAGAGAACCGATAATCACTTCACTTTAAGCTCATAAACTTCTTACACTCTCTGAATGTGTTGATTAACACATCTTAAGGTGGAAGATAAGACAGGATAAGACACAAAATTGCTTGATGCAGGAGTCTGTAGATTTTTTTGTGGCCTTAAGAGGTTCCTCTGAGGGATTAAAATTTGTGCTTACGTTATGCTTCTTAAATGGGGCGTGGGCTTATTTCACTCTGTGAGGTGCTTTCTAAGGAAAAGGCTCCTCTTTAACCAGTAAGTAAGGAGTTAAACAGACAGTGGATGAGTACAGTGAGAGAGAAAGGGTTCCTCATGTCTGGTGTCAGGGGTGTTGCTGCAGCTGACCATCAAGGAGAAACTGTAGACAGATACAGTTGAATGCTCCCAGGTCATCTGGAGACTCCCTGTCGCAGACCTGTCTGCTTAAAGAGAGAGCGAGACAGCAGTTTAGTCGGGTTTATAGACACGGAGCCTGGAAGTGTTGAAAAAAATGCTCGTGAGTAATTCCAGCGTGCCGTGTCGTCGAGGTGCTGCCGAGACCAGCGTGGGTGTGTGTGTGCGCGTGTGCGCGTGCACTCAGCCAGGGTGCAGGCCACACGCACGAAGAGGTCGTCTGAGTTCAGGGTCATGTGCTCACTGCTGGGCAGGCAGGAGCAGGTCGCTCTGCGGCTGTAGGAGTCAGTCTTCCAGCTCTGGATTTCGTTTCGTAATCTCTTTGTATATATAGATACACTGGAAAGGCTTTCGGTTTCCTTTAAATTTATTTAGTTGCAGTCAGAGGTGGAAGTTATTTATCTCAGTCATCGATTGTTTTTAACCAAAGCTCATCTGCAAAAGAGAAAAAAAAGAAATGTTTAGATCACTGTATCAAAGGTGAATTTTATTTTGCAAGTTTTGTTTTATTTCATGATGTTAAATATGAAGAAGGAATGACAAGGGTTTACCATATTGTGTTTTCCAAATGGTTTTCTGCGCAGCGCAGCCTGATGCCGGTCCACCCTGCCTCCGCCGGGCAGCCGTAAGGGGATCGTCAGAGTTTCGGCGTGAAGCGTTTCGGCAGTGTGATGGCCCCATCCCGAGCCGGCGGAGGGGCCCGTATTGATCCCGTGGCCAGAGATTAGCGCTGCTTGACTCTCCGACTGTCTGTTCTCCTTTGCAGCCGCGACAGTGATCTTTCAACAATCATCTCCAATCTCCACCACACCAGACAGCTCGTTATGCCAGAGAGTCAGCCCGGTGGCGAGATCAAGAGGAACGGCATTGACATTGGCTCAGGACCAGCAGGTAGGACTCCAGGGGTTTACACGCGCGCGCCGGTCTTCCTCCTCCCCCTCCTCCTCCGTCTCCTTCGTTATCTTGCCCTGCTCCTCGCCTCCTTGGCTTTCGCTCCCATTCCTGCCAGCGTTTCACCGCAGGTTAGTTGGAAGCCATCTCTCTCTCTCTCTCTCTTTTTAATTTTTCGATTCTGTGGGCGGTTTGTAATCAACGCGCCAGCTTCGACCAGCATAAGGGCGGACTTTTCTCGAGCGGCACGGAGAATTTGGAGCTCAGCCTCGCTGCGTCAGCTCTGCAGCAGGAGGGGCTGGCTCTTCACCCCCGCTCTGCATTGTTTTGTTTAGCATGGGAAAATCAGACAATACAAATATTTTTAAAATACGCAGTCCTGTACAAAACTGGCAAGCTGAGTATTTTATTCAGGTATTGGTAGCTGTTGTCTGCTGCACGTTGGGCCCTTGGACTGTTGACATCTCCCAGAACACCCATTTTCAGTTGAGGAGTTCTTAAAATGCCCACTCCAAATAAACAGCCTTATTTCCGTGTAAGCCCATATAATCTAAACATAGGGACGGAGGTGCATTGTAATCCAGTGAGTTAATTAACATATATTACTCTGGCCTACTCATTTGCCTTTTTGGAAAAGCTAAAACTTTTTTAACTTTGCAGAAAAGTCCAGCACCCTTGAAACAGGCGCAGGACCAATTAAAAATCCTTGACAGAGATTTCCAAAACGACTTGACTGCAGAGTTAGTTTGACTTTTTTAACAACAGATAAATGCCACCTGATTGTGCACCAAGAGCCGGGAGTGAAAGCAGACACAGCGCCTGTCTTTTCTCTGCCCGAGTTGCGTCTTTCTAGATCGGCCCGTTCGAAATGTGTTAGAGCGGCTCTCTGCAAGATACTTTAAGGCTTTGGAGCAAAAACAAAAGGCTTCTTAAAGAAGACCCGTTTTAATACATGAAAAGAAAGTGGATGTTTTATTGGCGATTTTTAGAAAAATGAAAAAAAATTAGTCAAGAAGAAATTAAAGGAGTTTCCAGATAGGGAAGACCTGTTTGTAGTTTGGCATCGGAGAATCACTTTCCAGGCTGTGTGCAATCCTGTAGGAATTGACTGTGCCCTTCCCCGCAGATATTATAATCCCTTTATTGGAAAATGAAGGATATTGCTCATATTGTATATGGCTCGCGTCTCCACGATCATGGTGTTGGTCCATTGTCTGCTTGTGGAATGTGGAAAGTAAGTAGAAGGCCTTGTGTTTATAAAATCTAATTGCTATATTGATCTGTCTTGGAGCCAGTGATTGCAGCCTGAGAAATTGAGATGTGTCTTGAAGCATGTTTCTGTGGTGGATGCAATTGGTTATTGGAGTCATATACTTGTAACACTTTTGTAACACTTTTTTTCCCAAACTTGCGTATGTTAGAGAATTGCAAGAATAAGAATTGTTTGTGTCCGGGTTTTTTCTGAGAGCCCCCTTGGAGATCTCGGCGCTGTCGTGCTGTAGCGCAGTGCACGGACGCAGAAGCCGGTCCTCCTGAGATAATTTGAGGTCCCTGTCACCGGGGATGAAGGGCTTATGTTTTAACTGAGCAATTAAAACCGGCGTCCTGTTGGCCCACTGCAAGATGAACACAAGGTTTGGGTTTGGGACGATGGATTAAAGGTGAGGAGGCGAGGCACTCCAGTTCACTCTGCGATGCCAAAGGACAGGACTCCGAACCGCGGGCTGTGTGAGGCGCTGTCCTGCCACCACTCCGCGCAGCGGGGACAGGAGTTGTAAACTGAGAAGGGGGGATTGCGGAAAACACTTTTTAATCTTAATTGAGAAAGACACACAAAGGGATGAGCGAGCCGGCCTTCCCGGCGAGGGTAGGGCTACAAATCTGACGGTTTGCGCATTAAACACAGATTTAGAGCCTATTTAAGCAGCTCGCCCCATGTCTGTAAGCAAGTCCAATCTTATCACCCAGTTTGTCTAATTCTGTCTGCCAGGGAAGTGTGAAGGAGAGGAGGGAGGAGGAGAGGGAGGATGAGACAGCCACAGCTCTGAAACCAGAGGGAACTTTTTCCGTAAAGCCCATGTTGGAATCACCCAAAATAAAACTAAAACATGGATGAGGGAAAGCAGAAATTACGAAGCAGATATCCTGACCCAGTTGCTGACTTATGACTGGCCATTTGTGAGAAACGTTATAAAAAAAATGTAATGTATATTCAGAGCTTGAATCAAGTCCTCGATGTTACAGAACAATTAATAAAACTAAATGGCAGTGGCTTATGGTCTTTTTTTGTCATTATTATTATTTCTTTGGTATTAGAACTTGGCTTAACTTGTGCAAACATATAAAGCAGCTGACAGCCAGCGCAGCCTTGTGCAGCAGTGGTCGGAGCACAGAGCTCTGTGTCCTGAGGCGATTCCGAGAGCATGACTTGCCAGTCCTCTCCTCCGCAGAGAATACTTTTCTGCTTTGAGAGGGGACTCAAAACAAGTGCCTTTTTCATCCATCTTACAAGCCTGATGCAGTTGTTTGCCTGTGCTCACGTCATTTTGTGACATACCAGTATGTCTGTCTTTCTGTCTGTGCTATGGTTTCTCTCCTCTCTAATCTGTGTATCTGTGCCTTTCTATCTATGCTGTTTTGCACTTATATAATCTGTAAAAAGATGCTCATTCGGTGCAGCTCCACTCCTGTTACCCTTGAACTGATTAAAAAGTCAAGGGCCCTCTCTGGTATTACATTTCTGAAGTGCAAATTTCGAGTGTTCAGTGCAAAGATGGGTAAAATACATTACTGTCAGTATGGGCATTAAAGGAAGAGAAATGTTTTCTTGTATGTAAGAAGAGACCTTTATTAAACCGCATTAAAAACATTGCTTTGTCTTCTAATTCCCAAAGATTAATACATTAGATCTCACTTTTCAGACGGTAGAAGCAAACAAATGGCACTAGTCTGTTGTGAGAAATAGGAAAATAAACAGCTAAATAAAACAGGCGAGCTCTTTTTTTTCGGTGCAGACGGCAGTAATGTGGCCAGCAGAGACAGTGCAGTCTGCACAGAGAGAGGAACAGGAAGCAGAAGCAGAGGGCTGATGGAGACACACGTTAATTAAATTTGAGGGAAAAGACATTAGCGATGACCCAGGCGTCAGCCATAAGTGACTAAAACTCCCTTAGCTCCAGCCTTTGGGATTGGATTGGCTGGGAGCTGACAGCTAGTCTGTCTGGAGAGCCGACTTAGCTGCAGCTTTGCAGTCGGTGTGGAGACTTTCACAGGCAAGCAAGGTGTTGTTTTTCAGGGCTAGATGGTGATTTTGGAGCTGGGGGGGGGGGAGCTCTTTCTGTTATTTTTCAGAGCAGAGCTACCTGCTCCCCTCTCACTTCCTGTCTTGTGTTTTCCTTGGGTTTCGCCTGCGGCAGGCGACTCTCTTCCTAATGGCCATAGCAATTTAATCTTCCAGCTTCGCTTTCTTTCTCCTTGAAAGCACTCTTCAGCAGCTCTCAGCCCTGCAGTTACCTGAAAGAGTGTGCTTGCATTGCCTGAGAGGTGAGGAATGTACGAGAACAGCGTTGCTGCATGTTTGCACATTGCTTTAAAAGGCAGTGGTGCTGTAAGATTTGAGGGGGCTGTAGAGTTGGTAGATATTAACCCCGTTACGCAGCGTCACGTGTTTAGTTCAAGGAATGCATCGAGACGTAATGGTTAGGTCTGGGAGCTTAATGAGTCATTTTGCAGCTGCGTACGTCGTGCAAATTTGTGCTCATATTTTCCTCATTGCGCAGTTTGTAGTTTTTTCTTATTGTTGGAAGCGCAGCCCCCCTAGTGTTAAAGAAAACGAGCCTGGGAATCCCACCTGGAATGAAACGGAAACGGCGCAGCAGAGGCTGTCAGTCCTGCTCTTCCTCTGCGGCGTTCCGGCCGCTCCGCTTCGACAGGGCGATCTCTTAGCTGGGATCCAGACTGTTTTCCTTTTCATCTTTTTCCGCCACTTTTGCAGATTTTGCATTCAGAAGCAAAGAAAAATACTCCCGATGGCACACGCTGCGTGTTTACACACACTACATACATGCAGGCACTTATGGATGTACCATCTGTATTGAACCCCCGGTACCGGACGATCCGCTGCCTGCTGGCTGCAGTCCCCCTCAGCACTGCGTAGCAAAGCATGTGCATTTCACTGTCTGTCCTGTTTCACCTCCAGTCCTGGAGCTGCAGCTGCCCTGTGCCACTCCTGTACCCTTCCATATCCCTGTGTACCTGTCCCGCCCCTGTCTCCGTCCCGGTCCTGTGTCTCTGTCCCAGCCCCTGTCCCTCCCACCCCTGAACCCGTCCTGCCCTTGTGTCCCTCCTACCCGTGTGCCTGTCCTGCCCCTGTCTCCGTCCCACCCCTGTCCCTCCCCTGCTCGCTCCGGGAGAGGCGCGATTCCAGGCAGAGCCGAGCCCTCCGGCCAGCGGAAGCGCCTCTCTCCTTCCCTTCAGCCAATCAATGGGAGCCTTTCAGCCCCAGCAGGGCCCTGCGCATACTGGATCAATAAGTTATTAGCACCATTCTGTCAGCTGTAATGTGGAGATTGATCGGGGCCGGGGCTCCTGTGCGCCGCCTGGCACTTCCCTAGCCTGATAAAGATGACAGATTAAGGGAATAAGAAAAGGGAATTAAGGAGCCTGGCTGTCAAAGCTGTCACCAGCTGGAGAGGAAGAAGAAGTGCTGCCTTTTTTTTTTTCCTCCGCCCCTCCTCCCCATCTTACCCTTCACCGCCGGGAAGTGGCGGTGTGCGGAGGAGAGCCGTCTTCGAGTGGCTCCGCGGGTCAGGCGCTGGCTGGGCTCCGATTCCCCTCCACAGTAGTTGAGTGGGGGGAAAAAATCGCTTTATGATTATTAAACCTTCTGGCCCGTGTGGAGAAGCAAATGTGTATATTTCTGTACTACAACCAGGAACGTTTTCTATAGAATCCAAGTGTCTTCTCCAATAAAGTTTTCTTACACACACACACACAGATATATAAAACGTCTTTTAACATTCTTGAAATGCCACATCATCAGGGTGGGTGCAACACCGCTTCCCCAGCAGAAAAATAGGAACTGACTATGATGCAAGGCGATGCTTTTAGGAACAGGAGTTCTGGAGTCATAGACGGCAGTCCGTGGTGGCGTTAGGATCCATGTGTCAAGTACTGGCCTGAGGTGAAACAGCAGCATGGCTTCCCAGCACAGGGTTAAACGAGAGCACGTGCACTTTAAGAAGCAACGTTTAATAGGTATTAAAAGCTTTTGTTGTCAAGATCTCTGACAATCGGGCACGGACTCAACAAGGGAATCTCTGGATTCCTCTGTGCTATGCCAAGATCTCCTCCTGTCGGTTCTGTTTTCCTTTCCTGCGTCATGAAATGTGGTTGTTTTGTGGGCTGGAGTGGCTGTCCGGAGTGCACGTGTGTGGGATGAGCAGAGCCTCTCCACGCTGTAGCTGTGCTGTCAGAGTGAGGAGTCGCAGTGTGGCTCTGCCAGGAAGCCCTGTGGTGCTCGTCGGGTTCTGCAAGGTTGTTTTTTTTTAATTACGTTTTGTTTTGCTTCATCTCTCCTTTTTAACCTAAAAGAAGAGGTAAGAGTAATGAAATTCACAAAAATGCATGTTCTTCTTTTCTGGGAGTATGGAGCGCTCTGCAGGATTCTGTTGTTTTCATCGGCTTCCTCCCTTGTTTAGGGAGAGCATCCTGCCTCAAAATCACGCACTGAACATGTTGAAGGAGATTTTTTGCTGACGTTACTCACTGTTTCTATTTATTATTCTCTGTTGTCATCCGTTTTTTATATTATATTATCCAGCAAACAAAAGAACATTGAAGTTGGTTGAAATGTAACGAATATTAGAATATGGTGGATTAAGTGTTGCTGAAAGACTGAATCTGTAACTGTAAGAGTGGTGGAGTTCCAGGTGCACTTGTAGTCTCAGCACCACTGTGAAGTGTTGTACTCCAGGCTGCCACGGTCTTTAATGCCCAGGCAGACAGCTTTAAATGCCCACCACTCAGCTCCAGACACCCGTGTGAAGGACAGCAGACATGTGCAGACAGATATGTCTCTCCGAGAGGGATTCCGATGGCATGAATCAGTGGCTTCCCGGGACTGCTCTTGACATCGACCCAGCGTTCTGGGTACGTGTTCCGAGTCGTGGCCTGACAGCACAGGAGAGCTACAGAAGCGTGCTTTCCTGCGCCGGCGGAACTGTGCAGCGGCGCGGGGGGGGGGGCGGCGTCTGCGTGTGGAGAGCAGGGCCGCGCGGGGGTGCGATAGCGTTGGGGATCACGGTCGCGCGAGGTCACAGGAGACGGGGGGCAGGAAGTCTCATGGCTCGGGACCCCGGAGACCACCACCGTAGCTGGTGATTGGTCGCGGACTTGAGAAAGCGTGGCGCAGGCCTGGCTGTGTGCAGGAAGCTTCTGGGCCACCAGACAAAAATGAAAACGAATCTGTTTTTTACCCCCCACCACCACCACCACCACCGCCACCTCCCCAGCCTTTCCTGGAATCCAGAGTGGTTCATTTACGAGCAGCTTGGTGTCAAGGCACTAAGTTACAGATAGGAACTTTCATTTTGAAGCTCAGTGAAGCTGTCTTCATGATTCAGCGCACGGCTTGAGCCGAGCACGCAGAATAATGACTTCCCTTCCAGCTTCCAGCCCGTGCTTCTCTTGTCCTGCTGCCAAATGCTTTGTTTCCCAAAGACAAAATTACAAAAGGGAATAACTGCAGGCGGAGCAGCATTTCTTCCGTTTCTCATTCTTCTCCGTTAACGATTACAGAGTATTTTTTTAAAGAAAATTTTAAGGGCAACTGCTGTATCCAGATGGAGCAGGTTGGGTCTCTCCCCATTGCTCAGACTTGTTTTTTTGTGCTTGCTTCAGTTCCTCTTTGTTGAGTCTCATCTGGGCCGTGTGATTGCATCAGATTCAAGCGTATAGCAGCGCTCCTACAGTTGCGCGTTAGCTAATGTACTGTGACGTGGGCAGTGTGGGAAAGGAACAGCACCTTCGTGTTAGGTGTCAGCCGACACGGTGTCAGCCAGGCTTGAGCCTTCGGCCTTGATTCGTCCGCACACCGCCCCAGCCCAAAACCACTGGACCTCAGAGAACCTGGCTCTCTAGGTGGACCCCAGCTCAGAGAAGTGTAGTTGTGTGGGCCAGAGTTGTTTGGGAATGAGGCCTCTGGATAGGCACCGATGAATGCAGGGCGGTGTTAGTCTAAGGCGTGGAGGAGCAGTGAGGATGTGCAATGCAGGCCCTGCCAGCTGGATAGACAGACAGGCATGGCTTCCACAGTGACAGTGTGTAACCAGAGCTGTCTGAACTGCACAGACACACTGTGTTGCGCTGCCAGCAAACAGCAGACTTATAAGACCGTGGCGCTGAAAGGAGGGCTGGAATTGATGGCTGTGCGCACTGAGATACAAATTCAGCACCCTCCTGAGGGCTCGGATTCTGTTTTCGTGGTTTGTTTGTCTGCGTCTGCGAGTTCTGTGGTTTGATCGCGTGGAATTCTTTCCGTCTTTCCGTTCAGCCCCCCCCCCCCCTCTTCTCCCAGGCTGGGATTTGCAATCGCACCTCCGCTGGCCCGGCCGGGGGCTGTGAATCCCTTCAGGAGGGGGCGTCTGTACCACCTGCTCGGGGAGCCGCCCCCGTGTCCTGCCCCCGGGGGTCACACAGCGCCTCCGCGCCCCTGCGGCTCCCCGCCCAGCTTGCCTGAGAGCCCGTGTCCCCGCGGGGAGGAACCTGCCCTTTCACGGGCAGCTGCTGCACCCATTCCCCGCCAGCCAGAGTTCTCTACCGGCCTGATCTTAGCAGCGACGGAGTAGGGTGTGCTATGCGGACAGTCTTTTCTGCCTTAGGGGTAGGTAAGAGCCAGCCTGGGCCCATTTGAATAGGCTTTGACCCTGGCCCCGCTCTCCTCAGAGTAGTCACAATAGCCCCCCTCTGGAGAGTACATCAAACAGGATCGTTAGTGAGGCCCTCTCTTGCATGGACTCCTGAAAAGGCTGAAAGACCCACATCTCTTCATGAGGAAGATGCTGGTTTTTTTCTGCTGGCGGAGAAGAAAGACAATAACATTCGAGTGGTTAAGTTTGTCCCTCGTGTCCTGTTGCCCAGCTGTTAGGAGAAGTTGGCGGCCGGCTGGGATGTCATTCAGACAACCAGAGCTTTGCCACAGCCTGTTTGAGAAGTGCAGGGTGCTTGGAGCTGGGTATTGCACAGGCCCTTGCTTGTACGGTGCTGTCGAGAGTCATCTGTGTCTCGCCTTCTCCTGCCACCTCAGTAAGTGTGAGGGGAGAGAATGAATGTGCTCACTCTAGGTTATAAAAGGTATCTAGTTTTGTTTTCATAGCTAAAAAGAAGAGATGTGGCCCTTCGCCTCCCAGAATCGCCAAATAGCAAGGGAGTAAAATGACAATGTGGAAACGATTGAAAACATATCATTCCGGCTGGGAATAGTCCTGAACAAAAGACCGATTAATAAGTATTAAATGTAGAAATCAGGATAAAAACAATCTTCTAAAATGGACAGAAAAGTGATTCTGTTTTGTGCAGCTTCACGTTAGGGCTTTTGTGCTTGACTTGAATCAGTTGTGCACAACAGGTCTGGTTCCCTGTGCTGCACAACCAAACAGAGAGCAGGAGCCTGTGTCTTTAACGAGACTTAGCTAGAAAATACAATGACAAACGGTCCCTTCCTTCCTGCTCATATGCAGCATCATGCTTTCAGTTTTCCCCCACGTTATTAGGAGGATATTGATTTAAAATCTGTTCGGGGGGATGCTGTAATTGTACACTAGATGTTTGGTGTTGGTGAGGAGTGCAGTGTTAATGCAAGGCATGTGCATTTCCATATACCCCGATGGGAGGAGAATTAAAGAGGACCTTCAGGGCTGAGAGAGAGAGAGAACGAGAGAGAGAGAGAGGGAGGGACTTGATAAGGAGATTCACAAGGGGGCTTAGCATTTGAACGAGAACCACAAGCAAAAGCAAGGAAACCTGTAAAAAAAACTGAAATAACAGGTGTTGCAGTGAGAAAGATGAAGCTGTAGGCTGGGAATTTCAAATTTTGACTGCACAAGAGTCCAGATGAGGTGATTTTTCACTTTTTCCCCCCTTTTTTTAGCAACTCTTTGGCCCCACTGAAGAAGCAGGGTTTGTCTCATGCTGTCTGAGAGCACAGAAATACAGAAAACCCTTTTCAAACGCCTCAGTAACACCTAGATTTGTCACACAGTCCTCCCAGAGCTTTTGATCAAACCTGACAGCAGATTTTAATCTCCACACACTGGATGATTTTTCAAAGGTATATGTTTATTTTGTTGGGCTCTCGTGTGTGTGTGTGTTTAATTTTGCAGAAACTAAATTCATCTGTGAATGTGAATGAGGCAGTAGTGAGCAGAAACTTAATAGTGACTCATGCTAATTCCCTCTTTGCAGATGACATCCTAGGAAAGAAGAGAGCGTATTCACCCAACAGCAACAGCGAGTGTCCTTCAGAGACCAAGAAATCCCGAAGTGTGTCGCCCAAAGGTAAGATTTAAGATTGCTTTTATTCTTATTATTGCTGCGATATTTTTCCAGAGCACAGGTTAGCAGTAAAGGAAAAGTGCTGAGAATCTAATTGGAAAATTATGAGAGCAAGAGAGAGGAGAAATCTTAAGTTGCTCAAGAGCAGGTTTTAATTAAAACATCAATTAGAGGAGAAAGGAAGGTGATGTAGTGCTGTGAGGAATGGGACCCGGGCTTTTCTCTCTAGTGTGGCACTGACGGCGTGACAGGAGGTGAGGAATGTGCCTTGTGGTGAGTCGGGGCCTGGCACAGGAGCCACAAATGTGTGTGTGTGTGTGAGCGCGTGTGAGCACAGGCAACCCCCCAGCCCCCGAGCACGCTCACTCGTGCACGCACGCACCCCTAGCACAGCTGTGTGCACGAGCACGCCCCCCTGCACTCACACACGCGCGCGCGCACGCACACACACACACACCCCCACACTCCGACACCAGGGCGGGGCTGCCCTCCGGGAGGAAGTCATTACAGCGGAAACGAATACAGGCTCTTTCATGTCTTTCATGTTCAGTTTCTTCTTGCGCTCGACGCAGTTGGAACCGGGACTCGGGGGAAAACAGAGGCACGAAAGCAAGATATTTCTCACTGTGCGACATTTGCACTCCTGCCATTCCAGCCCGAAGAGATAGAAAGTAAAAAAAAAGAGAGAGAAAAGAAAAATGGTTTTAATATTTCCTTATTCCTGTGTAAAGTACTGTTTGTTTTAAGTTTCCTTTTGTAAGACCGTGCAGCGCTGGCTGCTGAGGTGTAGCAGACACGGAGCATCTGTGTTAACCTGCACTTTGTTTGAAATGTTTGCTTTGGTAATTTGGGGTGACTGAAACCTCCGCGTGACCCAGTTAAGCACCGAACTGCGCCGCTTTGTTCCAATAGCTGGTCAGCGTAAAGCTTTTGCACTTAACCCTTTGCACACCGTCTTTTATTTTATTTTCTCTTTAAACGCGTAGACGTAGTTCTGCAGGCGTATATGTGTCTGATCTTGCAGCTCTTAGAAAATGGAGACTCTGGTAAAAACGGCGCTGGTTTTTGGAGCTCACTCTGGAAGGCCATGCTGTGGTGCCGAGGTCATGCGGTTCGGAGTGGGGCTGGTGCTTCAGTCAGCTTCGAGGAAGTGAAAGCACAGGCACAGCCTCCTTCGCGCCAGCATGGGAGGACATGTCCTCCAGCGATTTGTCTCCTCGTCCAGCTCCCAGGCTGCCTGCCACTGCAGGGCTCCGCTCCGTTCACCTGCACTCGAACCCGGCCTCGCCCTTCTCCGCGCTTGGCCGAGAAAGAAGGGTGCTGGAGGTGCTTTCTCCGACACCCAAGACCTTATCTTTAAAATCTTCTTTTTTTAAAAAAAAAGGGAAGCTTTATTTCTGACTCACTCTGTGAAAGCAGCTTGTGTGGTGCTGTAATACATCGGTCTTGAGTCATCACAGAACTTAACTTACTGCTGCAGCTACAACTTTCAGACTTTCTCACAGTGCGGGGGTGAAGCCCCTCTCTGTGGCTCTGTTACAGTCAGTTATGTCTTCTACGTGTGTATTTTAAATGCATCCGATCTTGGGAAAAGCCTGTGGTCTTTATAATGAAGTAGAAACATTTATTAACTTATTCCCACCTTGTCACAGTATTGTTTTTTCTTATGCTTGATGTAACAGTCAATTTACTGCACAAATGCAACCGACTGAACACATTTACAAAACACTGTATTGCTGAGCGGTTTGTATTCCTTTACTTTTTTGCCTTTGTATCGTTTTTTTTATATATATACAACTGGAGTTCTGCTACTGGCTTTTTTTTTTGCTTCCTCGTGTCTTGTAAAGCATTCCACAAGTCGACGTCTGATTGCTTACGTTTTTAATTTTTAAAAAACTTTTAAGCACCTTGGGCTCTAAACACCTTTTACCTGTATTCGCAGTTTGTCTTGGATCATTGTCTTGCTGGAGGAATTCAGGTTGTTAAATACATAAGGAGGAAAATGACCCCAGGCATGGGCACCACAATGTGTGATTCCAAAGTGAGCTTCTCTGGGTCCTTCACAGTGCTTAAGGCTTTTGTTGCTTATTGGAGTAGCTGTACGCTCCTGCAGCAGGTGGCCGCCTGTCTCACCAGGTGTAATGTTCACTCGGCAAAGCCCTGTCCCGAAGTGCTTCAGGGCGCCCTGGTTCAGACTCCATTCTCACTCTCCCTTTGCAGGAATGAGCCAATTATTGCCTTGGACTAGTCCAGGAGACGTTAACCTGCAGACTTAGACCTAACATGCTCTCAGCATCTTTAACTTTTTGTAGAAAATGATATGAGGGAGGAGGTGCTTATTGACTGGAGGTTCTTCTCCAGCCTTATCTTGAAAGATTACAACCATTCTTGCTTCAACCAGTATGACCGTTTCCTGCTTTCTGTCCTAAATATGCTCATGCCCTCTTATTTTCTGCATGTGGGGCTGAGCTTCATTATTGGTCTTGACGTGCTCCTCTGTGTTTTAGATTCTTAATGCTTGCATTCAGTTCCCTTGTAATTTCCTGTGTTCATGATTAGAGAGATTCAGTTCCGCTACCTTGTCCGTGTTGGGAGTTTTTCTGGATACTCTGTTGTCACATATTGTGTAGTCAGTCACATCCTAGTAAAAAGCAGCCTTTGTGCAGCAGGTCCCATCCGGATGGGAGCACACGACCGTGAGCGTGATTTTTCCCAGGAGTTCGGCTTCAGGTCCGATCGTCTCTCGGTGGTGTAAGACTGATGTTCATAACCTTTGTGCCAGTTTTTAAACCTCAGCAAGTCCCTTGAAACAAGAGGCAGCCTGCTCATAACTCAATAACAGAACAATGAAGGACATCTCTCTATTTTCATGTTTTTAGCTGGTGTATCCCCAATGGCGGGCGGGGTCTAAGGGTTCAGAACGTGTTCAGAGGGGGTCATATTCTGAAATCCCCATTCGTAGGAGACGTGTATAAGCTGCCACTAAAGTGTAAAAAACAGCCTCACTTCTTCGTTTCTGGCGACAGCATTATCACTTAACCGTCTACTTTTAAAGATGCTAAGCCTTCTTGAGATTTGACTGTCTTGTCTGACCGGGTGCTTAGTGTCGGAAAACCTGTAGTTCCAGTCAAATTTGACCGAACCCACGAACGGAGCAGCCGTCCCCTGCGGAGCCCCGTGTCGATGCGTGATGTGTTACACGCCTTGTGTTGGAGGCGTGGCCGCTGATAAGGCCAGAGACTTGGGGACAGAGGAAGACAAACGGCAGCCCTTCTCTTCACACCTGCTCTGCCTGTTGGCCTCTCTGGAAGACGGCTTTCAGGACAGATACTAAAGGCAGAGCCTGGAATGGCTTTACCGGCGATGCTTATAAATGAATGATGATGCACACTATTTAGTCCCATAAATAATAGATGATACAAATTTCCAAGGCATTGATTGCAAGAGTGGGAGTGGAGGTCTGCATGTTTGTCGAGGGGCTGGTGGTGGTGGGGGGGGGGGTTGAAATAGGGGGCTTGTAGTCAATCAGATATCTGTTGATGGATGAGTCTGTGAAGGGGAGAGAAAACTAAAGGCAAGGTGACTGGGTCTTTTTAAAAAGATGCTCATTGTGCCGTTATTTTGTTCTTTGGCCTGTGAACGACAGAGGGGCTTCAGTGTCTGGCTCTGGTAGTGAGGCGTCGAGAGAGTCCCTCGCTCCTCCCGTGAACATCTGTGTTTTCTCTGGGCTCTGCGCTCAGCCAGTTGGTGCGCCCCAGTCGAGAGCCGGGAGCAGCACGGAGCAGGCTGTGCTAACAGTTGTGCAGCTGTAGCTGCTGTTGGTATCTGTGTGCTGTTGGCACGTATGAAGGGTCCTGAAAGTATTTCTTCATATGAAAAGGCCCCCGAGTCTCAGGGGATGAGTGAGGGCTGCTCACATGCTAGAGCTCATTTCCTTTTGAATTTTTAGAATACAGACAAACGGCAAACAAAAAAAAAACATAACACTGGCCTGAATTGTGTAGCTTCTGTGTGGCGTTTTGAATTTGTGATTCTGTACGGCGCGTTTGGTAATAAATCATAAAAAGCTGTACAACGTATGCGGCGGATAGGCAAGTTGAAATACATGACTTCCAGTGAGGCGCGTGTGTCACGTATGTACATGAACCCCCCAAAAAAGTTTATCATCGGAATGAGTATGACTTGAAGAAAATCCTGGGAAGGGTCTTTTGTTTCCAGTTTCCGTCCAAAGCGTGGTTTAATAACACTCCTACTCCCAGACCCAAAGGGAGATTAGGCGGTGATTATAAACCCTGCTGATGTAATGCTCTATCCCTGCTGCCTCTACCCACCAAGGACTCAGGCCGCAGGAAGACAAACCTTCCCTGAGTAAGGGGAGACAGGCAGATGCTGCTGTCTGGGCTAGGGCGACACGAGCAGCGTCTCCTTTCACACCTGGTTGACAGAGAGATTTTGTCGGATCAGGAGCTGGCATTACATTTCGGTAATGACAACAGCAGACAGAAAAGCTGCGGTGAGCTGGAATTATCGCCGGCTGAGCAAAGTAAAAAAAAAAAGCAAGAGAGAACCGGCTCATAACTCTGACTCCGGCGGCGGAATCCAGCCTTCTCTCGCGGCCAGCCCGGCGCCCCCGCTGTGCACGCACCTGAATCCCCCCCAGCCCCCCGGGTCCCGGCAATTAGACAGCGCTTAGGAGTAAACAGAGACACTGGCGCTGGCTGCGCCCCCCCACCTGCCTGGGGCCAGAGCTCGGGTTTCAGCGAGGACGGTAAAAATAAACCTGACGCTAAAACCCCAGCTAGTGTTACTGCCACCACCTTCTGCTGTGCAAAAGCGCAGATTTGCATCAGAGAAAGGGGACACAATATAATGCATTGCATATTAATAATAAATATACGTGCACACGTATATAGTCATCCAGAGGGTATAATATTTCTTAGTGCATGTTGCATTATCCCGGGAAGGGCAATCGATTTTGACATATATTATGCACAAGCAGGAAAAAAAAAAGACATCAGAAGAAGGAAAAGGAGCGTGCCTGTTTGATGGTTTTTATGGTTTGATAGATGAATTTATCGTCTCACAGCAGAGCGAGCACGGTGAGGAGGTTCTGACAGATGTGAAGATGGTGTTTAGTGGAGGCTGGAGCCCTAGCGGTTGACAACATGAGGTCTGACGTTCTGCCCTCTCCCCCCCCCCCAGAGAACTCCCAGACCCCTGCACTGGAGCCGCTGGTGGGGCCGATGACCCCTGAGGAGCACTACAGGCGGATGATGTCAGCGCTGAACGAACACGGGTCCTTCGAGGAGCAGCAGCAGCGCCTCTACCAGCTGGCCAACAGCATGGGCGTCCCCAGTCACGGAGGTGAGAGCCCCCCGCGACCCCCCCCTTCCCACGGCGAGGGCCGAGGGCCGAGGGCCCGGACCAGGCGGAGCGCTTCCGCCCGGAGAAGCGCCGGCAGTGAAAGTGCTTGATCACTTTAAATCAAATTTAAAGCCTGAGAAAAGAGCTCAGCAAGCAGGCCCCGCGCCGGCCGTAAATTCCCAACCTGACTCCTCTTCCGCAAGCCGCGGAGCGAGGAGGCGCTCCGTGCCGTTCCCCCATCGGAAAACCGGGAAGCGACTCTCCGCCAAATGGTAGACCTGGGGTGTGTGTGTGTGGTTTCTCTTC